GCATTTATCACCGTGGGCAATGGTGTCTACAAAAGCGCGTTGGTTCTTAGTCTTCTGAGACGAGCAGGTTTCTCTTTTCATCAGGGGTCCTACGGAGCGAAAGTCCTGAACAGAGAGAATGAAATTGGGTCTGACCCCCCAATTTAAAGGTTGCGGAGGTTACTGATCATGACGTATGTGGATTTACCGGAAGCAGTGGAATTATGGGAGTTAGAGTCCTTAAAAGGACTGTTGTAGTACCTACAGTGTAATAGAAGCCAATACAGTTGTGGTTAAGTATTTGAAGGTGGTGCACCGGAGCTGGGGATGGGGGCTGTGGTAAAGTTGGGGCCCTTCACAGAGTACAATCTGGATCATGCGTAGTTGCCAGACCACTACACACACAGACACACACATACTCACACAGTCAGTTATACACAGACACACAATCCTGTGTGTGTTTGCCAGACCACCCAAGGAGTCAGAGGCCCGCAGGGCCTGAGGTGATGAGCAGACATTGTGGCTGCACAGACAACACCCCCCCCCCCCCCCCCACCTCCCCCCCCCCCCCCCCTCTCTCAAACACACACGTATCTGCTGCCATCCTCACCCTCCTTCATTCCACAGCTCACTATTCAGTCGAAAAGGGAACACTGTGAGAGAAAAGGAGAGATGAGGACAAAGAAAACCTCCAAAAGTGTTCTGGTGCCAATTCATAAGAAGCGTGTTGTGCAGAGTTGTAACAACTACAGAGGGATAAAGTTGATGAGCCATTCGATGAAGATTTGGGAAACAGTAGTTGAAACTAGGTTGAGGCAGGAAGTGGAGATTTGTGAACAACAGTATGGTTTCATGCCCAGAAAGAGTACCTCAGATGCAATATTTGCCTTGAGGATGCTGATGGAGAAGTACAGAGAAGGTCAGAAGGAGCTACATTGTGTATTTGTAGATTTAGAAAAGGCATATGACAAAGTGCCAAGGGAGGAATTGTGGTTTTGTATGAGGAAGTCAGGAGTGGCAGAGAAGTATGTTAGTTTGGTGCAGGACATGTATGAGAATAGTACAACAGTAGTGAGACAACACAGTAGAGGGACAACACAGACAGGAAGGTTTGGAGAAAAAGCTAGAGAAGCCAGATTGAGATGGTTTGGACATGTGCAGAGGAGGGACAGTGGATACATTGGCAGAAGAATGTTAGAGATGGAGCTACCAGGTAGGAGAAAGAGAGGAAGGCCAAAGAGGAGATACAGGGAGTGCAGAATTATTAGGCAAATGAGTATTTTGACCACATCATCCTCTTTATGCACGTTGTCTTACTCCAAGCTGTATAGGCTCGAAAGCCCACTACCAATTAAGCATATCAGGTGATGTGCATCTCTGTAATGAGAAGGGGTGTGGTCTAATGACATCAACACCCTATATCAGGTGTGCATAATTATTAGGCAACTTCCTTTCCTTTGGCAAAATGGGTCAGAAGAGGGACTTGACAGGCTCAGAAAAGTCAAAAATAGTGAGATATCTTGCAGAGGGATGCAGCACTCTTAAAATTGCCAAGCTTCTGAAGCGTGACCATCGAACAATCAAGCGTTTCATTCAAAATAGTCAACAGGGTCGCAAGAAGCGTGTGGAAAAACCAAGGCGCAAAATAACTGCCCATGAACTGAGAAAAGTCAAGAGTGCAGCTGCCAAGATGCCACTTGCCACCAGTTTTGCCATATTTCAGAGCTGCAACATCACTGGAGTGCCCAAAAGCACAAGGTGTGCAATACTCAGAGACATGGCCAAGGTAAGAAAGGCTGAAAAACGACCACCACTGAACAAGACACACAAGCTGAAACGTCAAGACTGGGCCAAGAAATATCTCAAGACTGATTTTTCTAAGGTTTTATGGACTGATGAAATGAGAGTGAGTCTTGATGGGCCAGATGGATGGGCCCGTG